TCGCCGGCTATAAATAGGAATCGATATCTCCTAAAAATGGCAGACGGGTCAAGTGCGGTTCAGAGGAACATGGTCGTGCTATCGGCCAGGATCAACTATCCCTGTCGTTCCATTCGTGCTTAGTTCGGAGGATTATAGACGGGACACCTGACGTACTCCCATCGGCCCGCACGAATCGAGAACCAGATAGAAACAAACAAGAGAAGATAAAGTGGGAAGATAGACCGAAAGAGAGCAGAAAAAAAAAGATTTCGCCCTAGCGTCGAGTTCGAACAGGTAACACCGCGACCCTCCAATCCTGGAATCCTTATTTCAAACGAGGACAAACAGGAAGAACCGCCGTGCAAAAACGGACATTGGTCGGGTCGCCGTACGCTTGTTCATCCGTGCGGACAAACGCGCCCGAAGAACGGAGAAAGCCGATTGCGCAGAGAGCATCGCGACAGGAAAGTTTCCAAGCCGGATTTTCATTCGGTAGTAACGGCCGGCAAAGTGGACCAGGTGATGCGGAGAACACCTCGCATAGAGCTTTAGCATATTCGTGTGAAACGTTAACACTCGCACACATGCTGGATTAGGTTAACAGTTACATTCGTTGCGTAAAATGCGACTTGTTCCAAACCTGATTCTCCAAAATAATTGCTTCGTATAATTGCTACACGAACCGGCGGGATTTTCTTTCGTTCTTTCTTTACGCGGGAAATGTAAGAGCAAATGGGAACACGTCGGGCAAAGTGCGGCGCGGCGTGAAAATGTTGCGAGAATTTGTAGGAAATAAGCGTAATGTATATTTAAATGAAATTGTGTATTGCAACAATTTAAATTGCCTTAATGTATCGCGCAGAGCCGGTGTTGCGCGACTATAGAAGCGCCAAGACGCGCATCCGCCAGTCGTGAAGGGTGTCCTCGTGCCGCTGACTGTGGCCGAGGTGTCCGGATTTCCGGCTGTCGTGTCCTCGGGTTCGCCAAATTGCACGCCACCTGGCAAGACGAATAGTTCGACGTGGAATGCGTCGCAATGAATCCACGAAACGCCTCGTATACCACCGCGTCAGGATTCTCCCATCCGGACAATGGTACGAGAGCTGTTACTTACCGGCGCTGTAGTCAACAGAGGCGCACATTCCGACAAATACAAACTGAATTATAGAAAACAGAGTCATTTCGCAAAATTACATTTGGAAAATATAAGCGGTTTAGCAAACAGACTTGTTTCTCCAAATATGATTTTCATCGATTTAACGTAGCCACTCAACGTCCGAAATATTTCAAGAACGATCGAATTATACGCGAATTATGCTCGCCGGTCAATATTAATTTTATTAACAAATTCTGTTATGATCAAAATTCGATATTTGCAACTCGTGTCATTTACGTGTATTCGCCGATTTGTATTTTTTACTTGCGAAGTTTATTATTCTTTCGTTGCTTATTCTTTTACACAGCTCGCACGAAATACACGCGCAAATACGATATGGACGATCGCGGACAGCAGCAACGTATCGCCTCTCCTGGGGTTTGCGTTATTTCACGTCGTTTGTGACTGGCGCGTCGGCTTCCACTATTTTCGATCGAACGTTTGACATGTGTTTCTTTTCTTTTATCCGCTCTATTTGTGGATTGGAACAAAGCGCGAGGCGGAAGAATATTTGCGCAAACTGGAGGAAAAGATGGAGCGCGCGCGAGAATTCTATGAATACGTTTCCAAGTTCAAATGCCCATGCGATTTCCATGTGTCTCGCAGGTGCAGGAGTAGTCTGCCGGTATGCGAGAGGTCGTTACAAAACGCCCGTTGTCGGTGCCGTAACGCGACAACCCAAATATATAGAAACTTGGTGCGAAGTTATATCAAATAGTGAAGTTATGATAAATTGTGCATATTTACCAGAGAGTATCTCGATTCTCTTTTATTAATTAATTTAATCTCGAACACCGCGCACACGTGTAATATATCATTTCACTTATTATTGAAACTATGCTAACGAATAAATTTACAAACATTTTTACATCTACGCGGCATGTAGATAGGAACTCCGCTCGGCGCGCTTTAATTCTCTCTCGCGGTGATTACCATTTTATCATTTTCCCACAGAGTGCGTAAAACAATCGTAGCAGATGAAAATCGTACACATCACGACTGACATAATTAACACACCTCCGCTGCAAATATCATCGTACCACTTTATCAACTAGCCGGTTAAATTCCCGTAAAAAGATTTTTTCACGGTGATCCTTTGTCATTCTCGGCGATATCCACACTTTTGCAACACCGCAAAGCTTTCTCTTTTGCGAATTTCAGACCCGCGCTGCTGAAAGATCTATGAAGTTTTTAGTAGGTTCCGTTGTAACGACGTCTAGTAGATTTTGATAGAAGCAACGCGCCTTCTCCGTGGCGCTGCTTTCGAGCGCGCCACGGCAATAACGACAATCAGAATGTTTATTGCCCGAGTTCCCGACTTTAGCTCCGCGGAGAAGAAATTCCTATCCGCTCTCCTAGCCGACTTTAGTCCGATCGTTTACTACTTCGGTTTCTCTAAGAGGGTTGCCGAACCAACATAAACCACAGAGCTGACAGGCATGCGAAAAGATTTAATCGACCATACGCCCGCGCACGTTCGATTGTGCGCTGCTCGAGGCCAATAACAACAGGCTCGTATGCGAACGATTCTTCCTGTTCGCTGATTTGAGAACCGGAAGATACGTTTCTGCGCGTTCTCGAACTATTTCTTATTCCGCATAGATGTTGCCATATGTCTGAAAATAAATCGCATGACTATAACGTTTCCCGGTAACTATTCCCGCTCTTTTAAAGCGTGAACACATAATAAATGTTTCGTATAATTGTGATTGTAAAATAATTGCTGTAATAACATAAATAAAATAATGCAATCTTTCCCTTTTCGATCGGTGAGATTTCGGAGAAAAATCTCAAATCACAGCTAAACGCAATTTTTATGACGAAACAAATGCCGTCGATATACATCGCTTGATCGTTTCTTAATTGTAAATAAAATCGCAAGATAGCGGATAGCCGTTCGATCTCGTAAAACAAATTTATTCAGTGCGATTGATCCGTCGCGCAGCGGCACGAAGTTTTCTTACGGCGGGCGGGGCTTCGTTCGCACGTCCACAGCTTTTTGTTGTCTAACGAAAACTTTAATGGAAAGATTACAACCGAATGACAGTAAACGTAACGCGAATTGAAACGTGAATGAGATCGCTGAAAGACTAATAAGTATAGTGATTGGATAATATCCCGGCGGCGATGCGCCTCGAGGCTCCGAGCCATTTGCCACTTATCCCAACTTCGCGAACAACGATCGCGACGACGACGTCGTAATCGTTGTTTGCGCTCGTGATTCTCGCGGATACACTCTAACTTTAAAGAGTATTCGCGGCTGCAACAATAACGATATCACGCACTATTACCTCTGTGAAGTTGGCACCCCATTTTTCAAAAAATCAATTTTTTTTTAGAGTTCTGAATGCACCCCAAAGAGTTCTAGAGTTCTCTATAAAATTTATAAATAGTTTCGGCAAATTAGATAAAAAAATCCATTATTGAAAGTATGGGGTGCTAACTTCGCAAAACGTTATTACAAAATTGACGATAACAGCTTAATCGTCGAAAATAATTAAAAATATCATTAGAATTATTTGTAGAACTCTTGAGGTGCTACCCAGAACTCCAACGAAAAAATTAAAATTCCAACAAAATTTTATCTATGACTGGAACTTAGAATATTTTCTTAATCGGTGATACGAAAAATAGCGAGAACTTTTTATATATTGGTCTGAGCGCTTCGAACCTTAATAATTATCGTTAGAACTCTTGAGGTGCTACCCGGAACTCCAATAAAATAAGCAAAATTCCAAAAAAATTTCTCACTCTTCGGGACTTCAAAAATTTTCAATCGGTGATACAAAAAATTGCGAGAACTTTTTATATATTGGTCTGAGCGCTTCAAACCTTAATAATTATC